AGCCTTTAGATTACATTGTAAGCGGTCCTTCCCGTCCCATGCCGCTTTTGACACTTTTTGGAGGAGCCAAAGAACCACAAACATAATTGTTTGCATAAAAATAAGACCGAGGTACCGCAGAGCTTCATCGGTGAATCCAGGCTTCATTTTTGTGTTTCAACAATTCCAAATAACTTTATTTTCAACATAACTAGCAATTTAAAACAAATTGAAGGGTTGTTTACGTAGGAGATTCATCTCTAACGAGCTCTTCAGAAGCGCAAAAAACTATTATTGTTTGCTAGCTCAGGTGATCAAGACTGTGCATTTGATTATGCAGGAAAAAATAAAAAAATTACAAGAGTTATTGTTTACCGGTATTTTAATTGGCTTAATTTTAATAACTTTAAGCTTTATTGCATGGTTACACCTACACGTATTAGATTACACTAGATAGCAACATTTGTTGTTATCTAGCGCAGAGAATGCAAATAAATAGGGAATAAGGAAATAACTCTGAACGATATCGTTAGTGAACAATTTTCGTTGGTAAACGAATTTTCGTATTCTGCAAATAAACTACTTTCGTTGACTACCGATAATATCGTCGTTGACGAACGAAAGCTCAATAGGTTGTAGTTGACTCAACGAATTAATATTTTGATAACTGATTTGTGAGTTTTTATGAAATATGGGTCATATTTTAGATTATTTTCTCGTAAAATTGCAAAGAAAGTAATTATTATTTTATTATTATACAGAGTGCTTCACATAACTTAACATAACTTTACGAGGCTTGCGCCTAATCTACGTATCCAAATACAAAACACTGGATACAAAAAATACACTTCTAACTATTTCATTTTTGGAAATCTATGACAACTAATCACTAATAATCATAATCTGCAGTTTTGCAGAAACAATTATCATTTGTTTTATCAAGAGGCGGCATGATTATGATTGTAGTTTATCTGTCTTAATCACTTGCTAACTAAAAACGCTGTAATTTTTGAAAGGGTGAACAAACTAGAGAAGATTATTCAATTTTTCAAAATTTGTAATCGAGTTCGTATCGGCATATGTATTATTGATTGCATCTTACAGGCGCAGGCCTCGTAAACACCCTGTATTATTACTATTGTTGATTTTTCTATTAGGTATAAAAATTTAAAACATACTTGTACCTATTTTAGACAAATGTACGTACAAGCAGTTAATTAAAAGAGGCTAGCAATCCTTTTAATACGTTTGATGAATTATTTTGAAGAATGTTTAGAAGAACTCTACCATACGATTTTTTTCTTAAAATTCAAGTTTTTTGAAAAATAGACAACGTATAGCACTAGTACATCACCCATAGTTCAAGTAGAAAAAATCGGCTTAAGAGAAAAGTTAGGTAGTTGATGGTGGTTGAAACTCATCTTCTTGTTAAATAAAAATATATGTTTTGCGTAATACATATTTATTTATGCGAGCCCTTTTTAAACTTTAATAAACTTACATTGTGGCATTAATGACGTTTTTGAATAAATACTAGCGAATTAAAAACATTGACTTTTCGTTGAGAAAATGTGAAAGGTCATTCCCATAATGAAAAGGTTACGGAATACGAAATTCAAACATGTCGTAACAACTTTCGTTAAAAGCCATTCGTTCACTAACGAAATCGTTCATGAACGAAAAATTAGAGAATAAGGGTCTTAATCTTGACAGAATTTATTACAGTTTTTCGAAAAATACAATTATTGCGTTCTTATAAAAATTACAAAAAAATTCGTTTAACTGATATAATTGACTTGCACTTTGGGATTTTTTGACAATTATTCTTTATTATCAATTTTGCATTTTATTTTTGTCTTGTTGCAAAGAGAGTCCGATGTCGTTTTAAAATTTCCAATTATGCAAAGTGGTGTCTGCTCGATTGTGCTGGGTGTAACATTGGAATGATTATCTGTGTGCGTATTGTGTGAGGGTTTGTAGCTAATTTAAAATGTTTGAAATTCGGTCGTCCGCGTCCAGTCGGGAGCTTTGTGCGGCTTTAGTGGACCAGATATTGTGGAAAAGCGCGTTCGAATTCAATTTCCATTTTAAGTTAAGTTTGGCGCCTGAAGCGGCGATCAGAAGAAGAGAGAAATGATGTATGTGGGAGATGGAAATAGATATAAGAGGGATTGCGTTGCAGAAATGAATGATGAGTATACTCATAGTCGCCCAGACGTGCAACGTCTATCCTCTAGAAGACCGGACGTGGAAAAAATGAGACGTGTCGCTGTACGCAACGTCAGAATCCCAGATCCGTTGTATAACCGGAACGCTAGTAAAAGGATGCAGAGATATCATTGAACTTGTATAAAGATTCTATTTGGGGAAAAATTGTGTGTGCAAATGATTTGGCGAATCTGATTTAAAAGCTGACACTTGAGAGTTTCGCAGAATAACAGTAGCTGTGAGTGGGAGATTCGGCGAGTGCTGAGGCTCTGAGCTTACCACCAGGTCGAAATCCCTTTGTGGATGATTAAACAGACGGCCGAAACACTACGTATACGTTTTAAGCTCGCCGAGCCGAAACTGTGATGATGGAACTGCACGAATTGGAAGCTGAATCAGGTAATCAAGTTTGCCGGAGGCACATGAGTTTGTGTCACGCCCTTGTCGCTGAGGCATATCTCCCGTGAACCATCTCCCCCCTTCTTCCTTCCGTTCACTGATTTACCTACCGTAAATACGCGGGCTGAACACTCGGAACTATTTCCGAACGACTGAAATTGAAATTTTACATTTTTCCCATTTTCGCGGCAGGTAAATAACGCCAAAAACAGTTTTTTGGTAAACATAAACGAAAGACAGTTGGCGCAATATCCAAAAATATTTACGAAAACACACCCAGTATCAAATTATTTTAATCACATTTTTACAATAATATAATTTAACATCGGAAAACGAAAACATTTCATTTTTGCACAGTAAAATATTGAAAAATTGTTTTTACTATTGAACAGGCCTGCATGCAGATTCCTATATTCATATTATTACGAGAAAACAGCTTCTTATAACATCATTGACTTGTTGGTAGTCAGATAGATAAGATTACAACACAACGTCCCCGTTTTTTACATTGGTTGTTTCACATTTTGACAAAGTTACCGTTTCAATTATTATTAATTAATTAAATCGTTTTAAATTTATAAAATATAAATAAACTTTTGAGCAATGATACTGGGCGATAAAATCTTAGCTGGGGTAATCAGTTAACATTTTATACAGGGTGTGTCAAAACTCGCGTCCCAGAAAAAAATTTCAAGTAAGATAAGGAACTAGAAACATGGAAAAAATTCTATCTGTCATTTATTTTGACATTTATTTTTTGACATTTGCCATTTTTTATGTCTATTTAATGATATTGATGATCTTGTATAGGTTTTTATCATCGCCGTCTCGATTGAAATAATCCTTTTCTCGCGTAGGTATTTTTTGAGTTCAACTGATTGCTGTTGGCGCTTTAATCTGGGGAAATTTTTTGACACATCCAGTTTTTTAGCTTAAATGGTTCATCAACCTCCTAATATCAATTCTCCCTGGCGTATCTAGTTTTGTTGTATCCTTCCTTTCCAGCTTTTATTAATTGCGTTATTTTTCGTTAATAATTAAAAATGATTCAATTTTTCCTTAGTAACCCCCGTAACTAAGAAAAAAAATCGGAATCACTGCTCCAATGCATTTGTTACGAAATACGAAAGGCGGGATATTGACACATTTCATTAAGGAGACAGTGGTTTTTATATAATTATTTACTAAAGGTACAACAATTTTGCTAACCAAAGCCTCACATAACATTAAACACAGTTACAATTTAGGATACAGCTTTCTTGTTTCCTTTTCTAATAGCCTGTAGCAAAAAAAACTGGGAAATTAATTTTCAAACAGAAATAGAGTCAAAGTGCAAAAGTTAAACTCTCATAGCTTCAAAATTTTTATAGAAAGATTTTTTTAACATTTTTTCCATGTTCCTGGTATCTTAGCTTACATGGCGTTTTTCTCTGGGGCGCGAGTTCTGGCGCATCCTGTATACATATAAAAAAATTGAAAACTGTACATTCGTATAAGAAAAATTACAATTTTTGTATTTTGTTATTTTTGCGGTGACTAGAATAGGTCCTAGACTCTGTGCTTTGTGGTGTACTCGCAAGTAATTGGTTCATAAATTAGAAATCCGGTTTTGAAATTGCTTGATTCGGAATGACGTGAAACTGATGTGGATAAAGAAGAAGGATAAGAAGGTTACAAATCATCTGAAATTAGGTTAGAGCATTTCTGGAATCGAATTTATCGAAGGCGCGCTAAAAAAGTCATACATTATAAATTTCAAGATGAAACTATCTGTCGATAGAGAGACTTTCTCTTTGGCGTAAAAAAACGCACTAACTCAATAACAAGCCATTCAAGCTTGTTTGTAAACTAATAATGAATTCAATTTATTAAGCGAACGACTAATTTGATCAAAAACAATCAAATTACTCCGACATAATTAACGGGAAATTGGTTTGAGTAATGTTTAGAGAGCCTGTCAAAGGTAGCGAACTATTTCCTTTTATTTTCGACGATGTGAAACGGGAAGAATCGAATCTGTTGTCGCTAATTGGAATGGCGGCGACATTATGCGTACACAGGGAGAGAAAAAATCTAGTTGAAGCCGCCCCTGGTTGCTAAAACACGCGCTCATACATGAGTGACGAAACACAATCGCTTGTTCACTGGACCGTCCTGGTACACGTCGAAGGCTGGCCAAGTTTGTACAAAAACTTTTTTGTTCCTATTTTTCGAGAGATCAAAGTTAACATTTCCGTTTAGAACCAATCCCATTTTACATTCTCGATGGAAATATATTCATCTAGAATTCGACGTGCACCAATGATTCAATCCGATTCAATTAACTGTTTTATCTCGTTTAATTACTTCCAGGCTTGAGAGGCGACGAAAAAATACAAAAAATCATCTTCACATTAATAATAACACTTTTTCTATTCGGCAGGTATCGTTTATTGTACAAAAAACATAAATTATTATCCAAATACAGAAACATTTAATAATGTTTACTCTCTTCATAAGCGTATTTCCATATATCTACAATGCAGACCGACGAGTGAAACCTGTAGAACATCATTAAAGGGACACAGAGGTGCCCTATGATCGTCCACAGCTCCTCCCCATAGAACTCGTTCTTGTGATCTTGCAAACCGTGCGATTTCACCTCAAACGTTTGCATGATCCACATTGCCACATTACAAACAATGAGGAAAGTTAATAACTCCCTCCCGGGTTTTTCTCTCCTGAGTTCCTTACTGTTGCTACAACGTCGCAATCCATCGATGATAAGCGGCGTTTGAACCAGAACTTGACCAAGTTCCAGGATGATAAGTGCTATACTTGAGGCATTCTGGGAGATGACAGCTGGAATAATACTGACAATTCCATTTAGGAAAAAAGCTGGCATACAGCCGAAGAGAAGGAGATCATCAAGAAAAGACACATGTGACTGACTGACATCCAGTTTTGTGATTTGTCGATAAGCAAAAATGACAGTAATGGTCATCAGTAGAGTGATGATGATGGATGTGGAGCTGTTGATCGAGACGGCTTCCTCGTTGTAGCGTCTGCAAAATTGTGGTTTTTCGTTGTTAACAAGCGAAAAAGTTTGCTTACGAATCGTTGAAAGCGATGAGGAACAATATAACACTGACAACCGTCAAGACCATGATGACAATTCCACTGAAGAGTCCCTTGTTGGCTGAATGGCAATCGGCGTGAATAACGACGTTGCTCTCGAGATTATCATTGTTTCCTACCGGAGTGTCGCATTGTCTCGTCGATGACATTTCCTCTTTCTGTTTGCATTTCCCGATGCTCTGCCATATCACGAATAACACCCCAACTAAACATTTAGTTTGAATAAAGAGCGTCCACACACGCGTTTGTAATTCTCACCGACAAGGATGCTGTACTCGACGGAGAACGGATACAAATAAGGGGAATAGTTGCGATAAATCAAACTGAGACCAGCATCGTTCTGACATTCGCCGACGAATTGACGAACAGTCGTGTTGAGATAAGCCGTGAGAAGTTTTGCGCCCCTTTTGTCGTACGAAGTAAGAGGAAGAGCGTGAGGACTGGTAAAGAATGCTGTCTCAGAAGTGGTTGTAGATTCATCGGTTGAGTCTTCTTCGTGGTGTGACAAGGATTCGATAGTCTCGCGAAGGATCGTCCACACCCAGAAGCATAAACTCGAGGCTATGCAGTGCATCAAACCGAAACGAACCACAGCCAAATGACGGTTGACTATTATCTAAATGAATGGAATCACGAAGATTTAAACACAGATTCAAATGTCAATACTAACAAAAAATAAACAAATATATACTTTTAAAATTTCATATAAAATACCAGTGTAAAATTATTCCATTAAGTTATTTAGGTTTTAATCCGACAAGCTTTAAAAAATATAAGATTAGAAGCATGATCGTAGATTCTTTTAAATTTTGAATAACTTACTTGATGTAAGGATGAGTGGTAATACTAATAATGTTAATAGATAATTGAAAAATTGTCTCAATTTTATTCTAACGCTATAATTCACCAGTGTGTTGTAGATCTCATACTCGTAATATAAATCTAGGCAATTCAGTCGCGTAATTACTTATATTTTAAGCCCAAAACTTACGTTGGAATATTTGAAGATAAAGTAGAGTAGAAAAAAGGAGTAGATGGGATACACGATGTCAAGAATTAGGCTAATCACTGTTGCACATTTGTAGAAATCTTCTCCTTCTGAGGTTAAAAACAGTATTTGGTATCCTATAAGGAGTCCACTGTGTATCAAATGGCCTAGACAAAAAACTGAAAAAGTATGATTATTTGGAATTGTGTAACAGTTAAGTAACAAAACCTGCGGCTCCAATTTTGAGATAAAAATTAGCGGAATGTCTGTCCTTGCTGAAACAGTAATGATGTTCTAATTGCTTTACTCGGATGGCTTCCGGTAGCCTGATATTAAGTTGGTAATCACCGCTGGCCGATTCTTTCATTTCGATATCTTCGGCAACGTTCTTCTCTAACAGATCGTTGTATTTGTTTTTTTTTTTTACGTATAGTTTGACATCGACTGTTAAGTAAAGGATGAAGATGAGCGCAATGACGACTAAATAAAGGCTGAAAGTCTGTAAACGCTTATTGAGGGTTATTTTCCCGACTTTGATACTCTCTTACTTCAGCTATGGGGTTGCTTTCCAAAATCACATCGCTTATATAAACTACCAAGCCCAATGTGACGATAAAGAGGGCATACATCGAGCTGAGGATATTCGTGAGGTGCTTCCTGAAACCGAAATTTTCCGATTAATCGCTGCTTTGTGCGAAATAAATTACGCATGTAGATCACTCCGTAATTGAATACTTCATATAATTCCGCTATAATTTCGGATTCAAATAGCACCGATGTCGCTAACAATGGCCAACTGTAAAACGTAATTGCTATTTCCTCGCAGAATGCTATTACAATAATACGTGGCTCTATTCCGGCGTTATTTTCGACATGTTTCATCGAGCGATTCGTTTTATTTCACCATTTTTTTTAAATGTTGGTATTGTATTCACCTGAAATTTTGTTTTTTGTCTTCTGGACTCGTCGATTTTGCTTGATCGCTGGTCGATTCTAGCGACATGGGAGTTTGGACGAAATTCCGGTTATAGTCGCCCAGATCGTTGCTAAACGCTGTATTGACGTAACATTCTGTATCTGGCGTTGAATACAACTCCGGTTGGCTACCGGAACTTCGACGTTTATTGTTACCACCTAAAAATTCAAGTATATTTGTCTAGAGCTGTACTTAAGTCATTGTTAAGCGAAATTTAGTAATTAGCAGAATCCAGTTGCGAAAAAGAAAGTCCCAAAATTTAAATACAATTACTTTAATAAAAACTGACAATGTTTTCAATTTTTTATAATTCAGATAAATTCTAATGCTGACGTCAACTCAGGCTTAGTTTATTTAAAAGCTTGCAAAACATTAAATTCATATTAAAAACAAAGTCATATCAAATCAGAATAAGATGTACTTAGATAGATAAAAGATAAAGTATCATGTCCTAGTCATCATTGAAATTAATTGTAAATAAATTATTTAATGTCGTTATCAGAATCATTGATAATCTCAAGGAATTAACTCTATTTTAGTGATGTCAACTAATTATCCGGACTTAATTCCAATTACGAGTACTTGGTTAGTGCAATTGAGAAAAAAACGTTCTGCAAAATTTAACGGAAAAAAAAAAACGTTTGGTATACAAAATTTTTAGCTACAATCGAAAGTAATTTTTTGAAACTAATTAGTGTAACTAGAAATAATTGGTTAATAAATAAAAATCTAAGAGCCGATTTACAAAATGCGAATTAAAATCTAAAACTAATTCGAATTAAACCTAAACCACTTTATCTTCTTCGAAAACAAAACTGCATTTAATTAAATGTGATAAAATGAATTAATTAATAGGAATAAATGTAGTGGATACAGTAAAGTATAAAAGAAACCGAGAATTAAGAAAGCTTTAAAATGATGAAATAAATTACGTAATTACTCATTAAAATACATTTCAATAAAATGCATCAACAGCTGTGACGAGTTATTATAGGAAATTATTACCTCAAAAATTTTAAGGAACTGATGTAAATATCAATATTTCTAATAAAATTTAATTATTGTTGGACTAAAAACAGTATGATGCAAAAAAATAACAATAAAAGATAGCCAAATATTTCATGCTACAGAAAATTAGTTTGGTAATTGGCCAGTGTTGTAATTAATTAAAATTAGATTAAATTAGCATGAAAGTATGTAATAGGTATTATAAAACTGTATAGATTTACAATTTTCAAAAGTAGCAAATTTTATAAGTATACCTACTTGTAGGTAATTAGTTAAACAATTTATTAAAGTATCAATAACATGAATACATTTATTTTTAATTAATTATTTTTTTAATTGTAGGTAATCAAAAATTAACTTTATTATTTTTTAAGAAAATTAAATCCCTAGGTAAATTTAATAATTTGTAAAATAATATATTTCATACAGAAACTTATACCAAGAAGATTGAAGTACTAGTAAAAATATCTAATTAACCTAAACTGAATTATTGGAGTTACTATTAATTAATGTACCTAAGTTATTTCGTAAATTGTGTAAAATGTTAAATTAGTAGGTACCTAATTGCTTTAAATTATTTCTATTTGTTAATGTCTCTAAATCTGCAGTCCTTTATGATTTTCTACAGCTTCATAAAGATTTTAGAATTTTTTTTAGATTTTGTGCGTTTGAAAATGAGATAAGAGGTGAATTAATTAATATTTTTGACTTACCGAATATTTCGTCGAGGTTGGAGATATTACTGTCCCCATGTCCGTTGGCGGGCAAGACGAGCTGGAGCACCATTCTTCCATTCTTCGGTCCGATGTTCTGGGAGCACAGAACGTAATTATTCAACTTGTGCAAACTCTCATTGCGATATCTTTTCAAAAAAGTGTGTGTAACAAACCGATCATGCATGTCGTACATTTTGAAACGTATTTTTTAGCGAACATTGCAAATTCGTCGTCAAAACGTTACGCTTCTCTCGAATAAGACAGCTACGAACGGAAAGCGGACGTTCTATTGTATTTTCGCCCAGCGAGCATTCAGAACGACTGTTTCTCTTCCATGTAAAACATATTTTGTACACTCATGCCGTTTTCTTTTAATTTCACTTAATTGCAATGGTAATGAACGACGGTGACAGATGCTTCGATGATTATTATAAATAATATAACAAGATGAAAAGTAGCCGTGTTGCAAAATCGCGAATTTTGAGAGCATGAATGGCTAATTAGGAAGAAAGTTGCAAATGAATGGAATGAATTACGCTAAAATGAGCAGTTTTTACGGTTTTTAGTTCGAAATTAATCTCGAGTCGACTTGAACAAAAATCACAGATCAACCAGTGAAGACCGCGGTTGAGAAACTGTGAAATTCTTTCCGGAAATTTGTAATAATACAATGAAGACGATTACAACATGGTTTGTGTAAGAGACCCCTCTCGAAGTATTGTTACAGATATTTGAGCAACCGGCAAGATTGATGACATCGATTTTCTGTCTAAAACTGGTTAATTTCCAAGCGATTCCCGTAATGCGCGTTTTATTCAGAAAATTTATTGTTTTATTACCATTTTATTATTTTATTGAGACGCCGTTATAATTTACGTACAATAAATCATTTCGCGATCGAATTTGATTTAGACAACTTTAGTTTATTGCTTTGTGTGACGCTCCAGTAAGTTTATCCGTTTTTTTTTAATAAAATTTTTACTTCCCAGTGACGCCAAAAGATAATCTCACGCGATAAAGAATTTTTCGGAAATCAACATCGTATCTTAATCTTAACTCACGTTTTTTAAAATTTCCGCTTTAAAAGATACTCCTGCTGAAGAAGTTACTGTTGAAACACTTCTCTGAAGCCTCAAATTTGGTTCTGTTATGGTCGAAACAGTCCTTTGGTTCGCGGGAATTCTCAAAAAATTTTCAGAATTTTTTTTTGTTACATCTGTAGCGGAAGCACTTCTTTGAATTAAATGCTGTCTGGTTTTGCCATTCTAAAATTATTTTTTATTGTGTTTTTTTTTAATAATTAAAACTTACTTCACCCTTTGGTACACTGAATGTAGTATTACGCAACTCAACTTCACTTTCTTCACATAAACTTTGTATCGAAGTTTGTGCTTTATGATGGTCTAACTCGACAGAAGAACCATCAAAGCACTCACTAACACTTCTAGATGTTGCCATTGATAGGAAATATAAAACTAACTTTGGAACAATATCATCGATTATTTTATTACCGTATTGTAAATATCTTTAATCCTAAGTCTTTGTTATCTTAATTAATATTTTTAAAATGTGGTGGTTAAGTAGGAATATATCTGTTTGAAAAGTTATAGACAATAAAATGTCTGTTGTCATAAATTATGAAAACAGACATTGCCAGTAAAATTGTCAATTGTAAACAATAAAATGACGAAATTTTTGAAAACGAAGTGCCACAAGATTAACTTGTTAACATTGTTGTGGCTATAAATAAAAGACAAAAAGACACAATAAATAACAAATATTTGATAAATTTGATAGCAAAATAAAAAAATATGTGTAAATTTGTTAAAAAAATAAGTATGCCATTAGAAATTTTGTTAATTTGGTTTGAAGGCAATTAAATTAACAATTCTCAATCCGGAACAGCCGTCTCAAATAGGCGCATTTCCTAAAAATTAGTGCCAAGTTCGCAAATAAACGGAAACATTTTAATGAGTTCATTTATTGACTTTTTTGATGGCGCTTCAGTCAGTCTTCTATTACAGTTATCTGTTACAGTTCCCTACAATTAATTCCCCAACATAATAGCTTCCTGCTCCGCGTGATGCGCTTCTGTTTCCATTGTCCTTTTCGGAATTATCGTAGGACCTGTTTCTTTATCTTCCGGATGAAAATGAACTTGTCCTTTGAGCGTTTCTTTATCCAACATTCGCATTTGTACCAAATATTTCGGCGGTGTGATTTCAGGATGATCTAAAAGATACTCGCAGTAAGCTCTGGTTGATCTCAAATGGGTGATTCCCTGCCAGACTGCCGCCATTGATTCGAGATGTTCCGGAACTCTCTTGCAGACTAACCATTTGTCAATATCCGCCATCTTTGGGGGGATCACTTGATGCTCCTTGTCTATTTTCGTCCCGAAAGCGAAAATCCTCTTTTGCTGCTTTGAAGCTTCCAAATCTCGGAGTAGTTGGCGGTGCAGTTGGCTACGTTTAGCCATCTAGAAATAACAGGCTTGAGCAATAGGGGACGCCACCAGCTCTCTACCTCGTTTCAAATTTATAACACACACTTAGACTTTACACGATACTTTTTAGAAATTATAATAAAGATTATACATATTTTTAGCAGTATATAGTTGTGTTTTATTCGGTGATAGATTTGAAATGGAATTTTTAAAACAGATATGGCTACTTTGACTCTACGGTCATTGGTTGAAACCAAATGTATGCCACTTACATCTGGCATGGCCTTGAGTATGGCCACGCCGTCCGGCACCGAGGCCATCTCTTTGACTCGGACTTGCAGTGACCTTGCAGCGTGCGTATCGAACCCAATTTCGAACATCTTCAGTACTAAGGGCACGGTCAAGGTCGTGGGTGAATCTTCGTCGCTTATGTTCTCCATCCATTCGACGAACTCGGTCGCTATCTTTAATTACAAACGGTGCTAATTACGTTCGAGGGTTAATCGGAATTCCTACCAATGTCGTAATCGCCTCTGCCTTTTGAGTCAGACTCATCTCCTCAAGTGATAAGGGCGGTAAGGTATGCCAGATAGCCGCCCGGTCGGGCCGACGCCGAAAGAAACGCGTGTAGGGGTTGTTGGGACCGACCTCTTTTCTTAAATTTGAGCTTTAGAGAGGAGACCAGAGCGGAAAAATATCGGTTACCGTTGGTTGTCTTCGGTTGGGATTGAGTCGTCGGTTTTTTGCTCGTCGGAAGGTTTGAGGGATTCGTCATCGGTCGTTGGGTGCTTGCAGCTTCTTACAAAGCTCAATATGCTAAGGATCCTGTTGAGAAGTTTCTCTGGGAATATCTCGTTTACGACGTCGAGGCGTCTATCGGGCGGCTAAAAAGGGTTATAACCGATCTCTCTCTTTAAAAGTCAGCGAGAGCTCACGATGGCCGCTTCGGATTCCAGCATGCCGAACAATCTATGCCACCAGTTTGTAACTTCCGCAACGTTCCGTTCATATTTACTTCGTCGGATAATGTGCGAGCACTTTTTCTTGGGTTCCATTTCAAGATATGACAGTTGGCAGGTATATTTTCCTTGGTAACAAGTTTGGTCGATTTGAACTTCGATTGAAATTCCAGTTAAGAAATAATTTAATATTTTGTATGTATTTTTGCTTAATAAAAAATAACGTTTTGCAATTCCCTTTGGATAAATGCTTTTGAAACAATATTAAAGCAAAGAAACCGAGAGGAGGAGAGAAACGGAGAAAATACATTCTGATGGCTACAAGATATAATAAAATGGAACAAATGAGCCAAGTCAAAGTTCAAAGCAAAAACGGATTGATGGTATGAAAAGGAAATTGGTATGCAAGGGAATTTTACCGGAATGAAAGAAACGAAGGAAATGACTCAATGGCCATTAATGCCAATGAAACCGGTCAATATTACGACTAATAACTGTTTTCTTGGCGTCGTTAAGAACCATTATTGGCATAACAGCTCGTTAACTTACTCGATTTGACGGAAATAACACAATCATTTATATTTAGTTGAGACCACTTAATCATTCTCAAGCCGATTGCTTTTAACACAAGTTTTAAACTCAAATTAAAAGTGCTATTCCTTCTGATTACGCCAATCTTTTTTCTGATAAATTGGTGCTTTGTGATCAAATTAAAGTAGCTTTTGAAACAAACATTTGATTTTAAAATATGGGTATGAATAATTGTGTTTTGATTATGTTTAAATTGTTTCAAACTAACTATAAAGTCTGTTTTTTTTTTAATGGAAATACCAAACATCTTGACCTTGACACCACTAGTAAATTCATTCCTGACAATTTTAATAAAAGAAGTTGGCAGCTCCGGTTTTTTGAATTAATTAGAAAACAATGTCATTAAACGTCAACACAAAAATCGTCTAAAAAATTAGAAACGAAACACCAAAAAAGGAACAAATTCGGTTCCGCTAACAGTTTTTAGAAATTTGAAAACGAATAGTTCGCTAGCAAGAAAATTGAAAAAGCACCCGTTAAAATGTAGACGCAATTTGTAATGCATGTTTGCTAAACATTTTCTAATTTTTAGTATTGAAATTGATGAGAATACAATATAAACATCAAGGAGAAATAACACAATTAAATTATGTAGTAGGTTTGGTTGCACCGTTTTTGAAAAACGAGTTGAAAAAGTAACAATTTTGAAACTAAAGCTGAAGAAGAATTTATAAAATGCAAAAACTTTGAGCTTATTTCAATAAATTACATAAAATTTATTGCCAATCATCAAAATACCTACTTGTATCTTTTGATAAATAACTTTTTCCTGTATGTACATAATTTTTCTTCATCGTTTTTGTAGCATTTTTGTCCACAACATTGTACTTATTTGCGGTGTGTTTCTATCAAAATGATTAGCACTGAATTCTGTCTTTAGACCTTAGGTAATGATGTCTGTCCTCAGGTATTCAATTATAGCGTTTTCAAAGAGCAAACAGGCACACAAGATTCATAAAAGTCAAAATTTTGACAACATCTCAATTTGAAAACATAACCATAATTTTTTAACAAAATTTCTATGGACAAAAACAAAGAACAAACAAAATTTGTGGCTATGGAGAGAAGCTGCTGTCAATTTTTTCACCAAAATTTTGACTTGGTAATTTCCATTTAAAGGAAAAACAGACTTTACCTAATAGTGTCAATTTTGAGCAAAGAGGATTTTTGGGTAATATTTAAGTTTAAAAAAAGTGATTTTTTACAATTTTTTGAGTATTGTTTATTTTGAGCATTATTTATTGAGTATTATTGTGTATGTATTAAAGTGCGATGTATCCTGTGCCTTCTTCACCCGTGCTTATAGTGTAGTGGTATTAACAAGATTGCAGATGTGATCGTTAGAAGTTGCATCTCTGCATGAGTTTTCAATTTTGAACTTATTTCCTATCTGCCAGTATACTTGATCAAGTGATCAAGTTGAAAGTGCGTATATTTCAATGCTGTAAGGTAAACCAATTTCGTTTCGCCACAATTCCTTTGTGTGTTAAAGTTAAAACGTTGTAAAAACCGTGACACTGGTGATTGGAGTACCTAGAGGTATGCAGCTGAGGTTATTGGTTTTCGGTGTCTTTGTGAACGTCACAATTTCAATATGAGCAAGACAAAGTGCCGGTCTCGTAATGATAAAAACATCAAGGCCCGAATAATCCAATAATCCGACATGTATGCATACGCGCATCCACGTTCGAGAGTCGATCCATCCCGTCTTATTTATTCCCTTTTCGTGTTTATGCAACATCTTCGAGACGCGGATTGAGCGGTCCCGGAACGGTTTATGCTACAATTAAAATGATTTAAAGCCGTTTTCCGTGCACTTTTATGCTCGACGGCCATCCTGCTACATTTTTGCCCAAAATGTTGGCACAAACTCTAAATCCCTAAAGACAGGTGGCGGCCGCACGTCTGTTATTTCCAATAATTTAATCAAAAGTGAAATGCAAATGAAATTCAATCTTTCGAGCTGTTTTCGGAGGGCACGAGAAAACTCGTGAGCGGAATTTAATGCGTGCATTTGCCGCCAGAGTGCAGGACACGAAGTTTCGCATTACTGTCGACGTTTACTGCTGTTTGCCTACTTATGGCCCTCTCGTTATTTGCCCAATTTACGGCGGACGAATGCAGCGGCGCCGATATTACACGACTGATGCTTTTTAATAATATTTATTTAATTGAACGCGGTACGAGTGAAAAGTGTAAATTTTTAATGAAACTCGCTTTTAATTAGTTTCATTATTTTTTGCAAGTCGGAGCTTTGTTCCCGAGTCATTCTAGAGATTCTTTTGTAACGCGGCAGAAACGTAAATATCACTAGAACAACTCATGTAACGCGTTGTAATTTGTCGCAGTAGGTAAAATAACAAATTTTTGTGATTAACCCGGCGCATCCACCATTTCCAAATAAAAATATTTAGGGGTTGTTTTGTGTGAGACTGGAACAATAAAAGCAATTTACAAGTGAGTTTTCTTGGGCTATAGAGGCGTAATTGTGTGTCCAACGCCGTCCTGAGTGGCGATTAGGGCCGTGTTGTGCATTGGGTGCAGACGAAGTGTTTCGTGTTTTGAATATTTGAGTCTTGGGGGAAAAACCTGCAATTAGGTCGTAACAATAGCGTGATGCTGCGGTCAGCGGAAACGGATGTCGCAGTCAGTTCGAACAATGCATACATTCAGTTGAAGTAGGCTAGTTTATGGTCTTCCATAGAGCGAAATGGCCGTCACAGGTGGGACAGAGATGGGCTGAAATGTACAAAGACTCGTGGCACACTTGATGCAGTCGTAAAGCAGAAGACAAGACAGCAACATCGGCAGGAAGCGTCGTCATCTGTCCTCTCTCTGCCTGAAATCGCTCGACTGAAAGCAAACTTTGTCGGATTAACGTGCTGCCAGCTGAAATATTCAGAGGAAGAGAAGACGTTTTTCAGGAACTTGTGTTCTCTAATAATCGGAAAGTCGGCGTGAAAATTTTGGAAGGACGGCATTTGGGGGTGCGTCGTCACCGCCTTTAATAAACTTTGATATATTTTCACCTAGAAGTAATTACGAGTAAGAATTTCATATCGTGCCTAACACATGTCTTGAAAGGAATTGCTACTCCTAAATTACAATAACTGTCTGGAAGTTACTAGGCGTTTTCAGATCCTCAACCGCTTCCTTGAATACGAACACAAATCTTGACGTCGCTCTAACACACGACCAATGCAAAATTACTACGACAAATTATGGTACACCCTAAGGAGACTCAACATATGTTATTATCCAATCGATACTTACGCAGATTTACAAGTTTTAGAACAAGTTTCCAAGAAAAACGGGTAATTAACGACTCGGAACGGATAACAAGACTGCTTTGCAATAATTAATAGATCCTCAGATTAAACCAGAAACGTATTTTATACTATAGATGAACCTCGCTTTACCGACAAAGATATTCTTGAAACATCCACACCTGCAAGAGACTTTGCAGACGTTGCAAAACATGAGTGCTCAGCTATTATAAATAAACAAAAAAACTACAAATACTAAAAATAAACAAAAAAGTGGTTAAGTCAACATAACATATTATTCTTGCATCCATTGTTTTAGTTTTAGATGGAAAATTTTGTTTACATTAAAAAATGTAGTTTTTGCAACACGATTACCTTAATTATATTGTTTCTATAGTGCTTTTACGCTTACCGTTCATGTTGCCGTTAAAAGTACGCTTCATCTATACTCTTTTTCATATTAATGTGCATCAAGTAGGTTGTAGAAGTCTAAATGAATCTTTAATTTAAAGGCCGGTTTATACAAAAAGTGTCATTAATATTATTCAGAATAAATTTAATCACATCAATAATGACAAAAATCCTTGTGTTTGCTATCATCCTATGTTAATTACGTTGTTAATTTTAATTATTTTTTCCTACATGGGGTACACATTTATTTGGAAAAATAATTTTTAGGAAAGATTGAGGTTAGGATTATTTGAATTTTTGCACCTTAAAATAATCTCTTTCAACTTCAATGCACATTAATATGAAAAGGAGTATACAAAGTACGTCGTCAATAGCACATATCTTATGAGTCTACAAAAAATGCATATTTTTTGTCAATTTTGACATTATTTTGACATACTTCTTTATAATAATTTCTGAATTTACGAGTAGTAAAATTTCTAATTCAAAATTGGTGTTGCGAAACATCTTGACAACACGAGTTTTATTGTTTAAAAATTTCAGCCTATTAAACTACGACTTCGATTTTCAAAGTGTCTATAAACTTCTATTTGTCTTAATGGCTATTGAAACTAAATCTTAAAAATAAGCATTTTTTAAAATAATGCTTACAAAAAGTGCATTATTGCAGCTGTATTTGTTGTGAAGTTTCTGTCAACACTTTAGGTTACTCCAGGATTGAAAGATAACTGGTTCTCCACCAGTTATTTTTCAATACATGTATTTAAAGACGTTATTTTTACAAAATTATATTTAGGTTACTACTTTTCTCTTAAGATAAAGTTGGAAAAACAGCTTAAAGTTGAAGAAAATTGACGCTTTATTTAAAAATATTTTTTTTAATAGCAACAAAATATCAAATTGAGAAGTAATATTTTTTCTTATTTAAAACAAAATAAAAAAATAGTTGTCGCACGTTTTTTAATACAAGTACTTTTTATTTATAAAAGTGAATACATGAAGAAATTGTAAAGTTGTTTTTTTTTATTTTCTAGTAGATAAGGTAGTAAAAACATAATATAAGAACCCTCGTAGTAAGAAAAAACAGTTTTGATCTTTAAAATCTTTAAAAATTTGCTGCATAAAAAGTCTGACCTGAAAATTAGCGCAACTGTTCGGTTCATTGTCGAAGCGTCAAAATTTCAATGTCTGATAAATGGAGTGTCCGTCCTATTAAT